ATCAAATGCCTTTGTAAGGTCTATAAATACTCCCAATACATGATCCCCTTTATCAAAAAATTGAAATATTTTATTAGTCAGTTCAATGATAGCATGTTCTGTTGAGCATTTTTTTTTGAAAACCAAATTGATTTTCATATAAAAGTTTGTTTAACTTCAAGTAATTATAAATTCGATTGTAGATTACTTTTTTATAAACTTTAGAGAACACTGGTAAGAGGGATATTGGACGGTAATTAGACATATTATTACAATCTCCATTTTTATAAATAGGATTGACTTTAGCAACTTTTAACATATTAGGAAAAGTACTGTGTTCAAAAGAAGACGATATTAGATGAAATAAGGGTTTTCTAATACATTCAATGACGTGTATTTCTAATACATTCAATGACGTGTACATATGTACACATATATACATATACCCATAAAAACACACACATATACAAACATTCTTACATATATGTCAGAAATAATAGAGATGCAGTTTCATTTGTCGTTTAAAAGAGAAATGCTTTTCAAATTTTTTATATTGTTATTTTTTAATTGATTCCATAACGGGCCTTCGCTGATAATTAAAAATTTCGACACTTGCGATTTTACTATGCTCAAGTGATAGTTATGGTTGTTACTTGACCGAAGATTGTATTTTTGTGAAAATGCTGGTTTAAAAATGTGAAAATGCTGATTTAAAAATTAACAAAACTATTTCTTCTGTTGATCAATTAAATAATAAACTTAAACAAAAACTTTAGATAATTGAAAACTTCTTCTGAAACTGTTAAATAAGAATAATCACTTGTTTTTTTTTTTATTTTTTATTTTTTTTTTAAATATATATTTCTTATATATTATATTTAATTTTATACTATAGTTTGTGTTTTGTATAATAAGTTTCTAAAAAATTTATTTTATATTTTAATGTTGAAATATTTTTGTATTTTGTACCGCATTTGCGCCTCCTTAAAAAAAACAAGGTCCTCAATTTCTAAGATATTTTAGGTCTTTCATTTTCTGGTGTGGACGGATACATACCTCCCATCACCCCCATCCGCCCTGAATCCATGTGTGCAAATAATATAATTACTTTTGAATTAATTGTTTGTGTTAATAAAATTTGAAAGCCAAAATTTTCCCAAGAGAAAACTCGGCTTTATCATAGTCATTCATTCTTTTTTATTTTTTGCTGTTTCCAGAAGTTTGTGATAGCGATCGATTACCTTTCTTTTGCAGAAGTGGAGTTAATAAAACTTAGCATATTAATTATAGGTATTTTTGTTGTATCAACAGTAAACTAAAATATAGTAGCAAATTTAAAGTTGTTTATATTCCTTTTGAAATAATATAACCTACTTTTAATTTACTATTATAAAGAACAAGGTTCAGAAAAATTGCTGATAAAAAAAAAGTTGCTATAATAATATAAATAATGTTCAGAAAAAGTATATTCTACGTCAGCTTCTTCTGCAAATTTACATTGCATTAACTTAAATTTTAAATTAAGAAAGTTATGCTTTAAAGTTTGCTTACTATCTATTTGCAAAAAGTTATGGTAAAGGACGAGTTTGAAGCTTAAATTTTTTTAAAATTATTAACGACTATTTCATACCACAAATTTGTGATATAAAATTATCAAACTGACTTTTGAAAATGTTAGTTGAGTTTGCATTGACTACGTTTGTTAATAGTCCATTCATCCAGCAGGAATGAGCTAACAAAGACAACTGGAATGAGCTAACTAAAAGAACTGGAATGAGCTAACAAAGATATAGATCAATCAATATTGAATCAATCAATATTGAAGTATCAAATTTCTATTATTTTGAGCGATTGAAAAACGCTACATTGGTCCTCTTAAGTTTTAGTGAAAAGTTGGAAAAGGCTTTTTTAACTAATGCGTTGAGAATAGAAATAATAAAACTCGATTCAAATACTTTCAAAACATCGAGGGTCATTTTTTGCTCATTAAAAACGTCCTATGAAACTTGGTTTAAAAGAAATTAGGAAATGATCTTGGTGACCAAGTAATACGTTTATGAATAGTTTATTCACCTTTCAAAAATGTTTGGGTTTTGTGTTTACTGTATTTTTTTTTCCTGGTTCAATAACTGAAAATAAATAAAAATTGTTAGTTCGGAGCAAGAACGTAGATTTAAGCAATCGAAAGCGCCTGAGAGACAGATATTTCATAAAAATTTTAGAAATCATTGACAAGGCTTTACTACGTAGAATAACATGAAAGAAATTTACTTAAAAACAGAGGGATAACTGATGCAGAACTGATTGAATGCAGAGAATAAAGAATCATTTCTCGGTTTTATACAAATAAACAATAAGGACGCTGCAAGCTGGTTCCAAAAATATTAGGCAGTTAAAGAAAGACAATACAAATTTACAAGATTGCAGGTCACAGTGCTATCATAATGCTGCTGTTATGACTGGACTCAAGACTGGTGTTCATCAAAATAATCTTGAATAAAAATAACTAGGTAATATTTGTGAATTGTGATAATCATTCCCTTAATTTGGTAGACGTACAAACAGCCAAAGAAGAAGTAACGATAGCAAATATTTTTCGGGAGCAGCTCTGGGTTGAACGAAAAGCTACATGCTGTTGTACCTATGGCTTTGAAGTCTGACTCTGCTACCAGGTGGAGCGCAAAAATGGAATCAGTAAAACTTGTCAGCATATGTTACGAGAAAATATTAAAAGTTCTCCTGAACATATTTGAAATTAATAGCACGACAAGTGAAACTAAAAATGACGCAAGGCAATTGTATAACCGAATATTAACATATGATTTTATAACGTTGCTAATGTTTGGGACAAGATCTTAGGTTGTATTGACCGAGTTTAAAAGATGTTGCAGGATCCCAAAATAAACTTTCATAAAGTAACTATAGATTTAAAACTCACCAAAATTATTTTCATAATGAAAGAGAAGTGTTAGTTAGCGACTCACTGAAATAAGGAATTTGAATATGCAATGAACGGGACATCGAGTTTGAATAACGTCAAAAAAGAAAGAAAAGAATGGATGGCGAAATATCAAGAGCTGCTGATTTAACTGCTAAAGAAGAAATGAAGTTATAAAGAAATATAAAGTTATATAAAAATATTTCTTTCGTTTTTACGAGAATTTGGGAACATCTTTTCTGATCATCTTTGTAAAGGTATTGATTGTGTTGTTCCAATCAGAACAATATACCATAAGAAAAAAATACTATAAAAAAAATATATATTCTCTAAAAACCAATAGCAACTTTATTATTAGCAATGTTGAAATCGCTGAAGTGTTTAACAAACATTTTGAAAGTGTTTTTACGGTAAATGACAGAAGTTTGTCTGAAACAAATACTTTTGTTAGTGAATATATAAGATGGTATTTATAGATTTTTAAGCAAAGATAGTTCATCAAAAGCTAAAAAATCCAAAATCTAGCACATTATTTGGACCTGATGGTATACCAAATATACTTTTAAAATAGTTAGCAAATATAATATGTTTTCCGCTTTCATATATATTTGAAGCAAGTTTTACGTCAAGATCGTTACCAAACAGTGTCTTCAAGCTTCTGTTTTCCTATTTTTTAAAAAGGATCTCCTTCAGATGCTAACAATTATAGATCTAAAGAATTATAGAGTCAACTAATGACTGGAATAAAGCTTTAGACAGCAATTTAAATACTGACATGGTGTACATTGATTTTGAAAAAGCATTTGACTCTGTACCTCATTGTAAACTTTTGAAAAAACTTGTAATGTGCTGTACAATAGATAACTTTTTTCGTTGGATATCATCATTTCTTTCCAACAGATATTAAAGGGTTCTGATTGGAAATTCACTATCCAATTTGACCAGCATCCTTAGTAGAGTTTCACAGGGTAGCGTTTTGGGTTCAACGTTATTCTTGTTATATATTAATGATCTATCCTCTATAGTAAAATATCTTGATTGCTCTCTACTGTTATATGTTGACTATATCAAGATATATATAGTTCATTTAAGGATGCCGATTACAGTCACGATCTTGCTGTTACCATTTATAAATCTCTGGTCAAAAAAATGACAGTTAAAAGTAGCCAATAATAAGTGTTTTACTCATAGAATAGTACCTATTTCATTTTGTGAAGATATAAATTACAACTATCAATTAGGAGGTCATAAATCAACTTGGTCTTCCAATCCAAAAGATCTTGGTGTGACCATAGATTCTTACTTAAATTACAATAATTATATTTTAAATACTGTCCGCGCTTCAAACATTTGACGATATTTAATCCTTAAGTGTTTTAAAAGCCGCGACCTACATAAAGCTTTAGACAGCAATTTAATTACTGACATAGTGTACATTGAAAAAGCATTTGACTCTGTACCTCATTGTAAACTTTTGAACCTACACTCGCGACAAAAAACCGGTCTTAGAATATTACTCTCCGGTTTGGTCACCAAACCGTACTGAAAAGAACAAAACAGTGGATAGAACAACTGAAATGAGGAAAGCAGTGGATAGAGTACAAAGACGTTTTACCAAGAGAATTGCTAATTTAAATAACTTTTTATTTTAATAGACTCGGAATTCTTGGTTTGGAACTACTAGAAGTTCGTCGCCTTAAGCAAGACATGTTACAAAATTCTGAGCAATTTAGTGCCTAAATATATCAAGTTTCTATTGAATAAACAACTATATTTACACCCGAGATCACAAATTCAAATTACGCTAACTAAAGTGTAAACTCGATGTCCAAAAAAACTCTTTTTCACTTAGAGCTGTTAATATTTGAAATAACTTGCCATCTGACGTCGTTAATTCCAAAAATACCAAGAGCTATATATATTACTTCGATGTAAATAAAACTTTATTACCATAGTAACAACAATATAATTTGTTAATAATCATTAATTTATTATCTATAATATTTTCTTTACTTTAGGTTTTGTCTATTAAAAAACATTTTCATAAATAAATTTGTGATAAAAATCCATAAATAAAAAATAATTTCAAAAACACTTAAAAACGAATATAAATAAATAAATTACAAATAAAAAGACTAAACTAAAATTGTTTCACACTGAATCAGAGGAAAGGTTTAAGTATATAAAGTAATCTAAAATTTTTCCATTTGAGGCCAGCTTTGTAGTTTAATTTTTTGGGTGAGAGTTCCTTCTAAAAGTCTTTCAAGCCACCGTGGTAAATCGTTTCTTACACAAACTGCTGCCTGTTTTATTTTTATTTTTTCTGAACTCGTATAGCCATCGGCTTCATCGTCGCTACTTTCAAATCCCATAAAGTTCATAGAATTTGTTTGTGCGATATTTTGTTTAACATTTGGTCGAAAAATATAAGCGTACTTTCGGTAACCATTAAGAGCCAAAACAGTACCAGGTAGAAACTCACCAAACTTTTTAATTTGCATTATTTCTGTACACCATATTAATTGTTCTTGCAAAGTTATCCAAGTAAACTTGTATGAAGGATCCCTATTTAAAAATAAATGCATTAAAAGTAGATAATTAGAGTTATAATAAACTTTTATAACAATCCAGTTACTTATTATATAAGATTTTATCAAACAAAATTTATACTATTTGATAAAAGATTGATAAAAAATCTTTTTCTATATGAGGTGTAAGAGCTATAACAGCCGTATAATGAAATTCGTTCAGCAATTGTAAGATAGTATGGCATATAAATATATGCTTTAACTGAGTGTAAGCTTATGCTTATTAAGGTGGTTAAGATGATTCAAATGTTAATTTATTCAATTAAATTAAGAAGTATTACAAAACCAAATTTAAAAAAAAAAACAATTTAACAGTGACGATGTAATTAACAATACAAGTATTAAACAAGATTTACGTTAAAAAAAACTGCACAAACCCAGTAAAATTATATATAGCATCTGCAAATGCTTGGGCTATAGGGGAAGAAGCAACTTCTTCAGCAGAAAAAGCATCAAGTACCACTGCCACACAAAACTGTCCTGGTCGAGCATCATTAATGAATGTTTTTTGTGTCTTATGCCATAGTTTTTCAAGACCCAATACGCAAGTATTTTCATTGTCTAAATTACGCCGTGGGTATTTGTCTTCTGGTGTAGTGCTGACGTAATCGCTATAACAAAAATCTTTTTCAAACAATAACAGAAATATTTTTAACGTTTATTTAAATTTATCCTATGAAAATAAAAAAAAATATTTAAAAAAAATGTGTTAATAAACCTTTAAACTTTATTACACCAGACGTTTAAAAAATTAAAAAAAAATTTTTTTTAATAATTTAAAAAAAAAAGTTTTTTAAAAATTATGTAATCGGAAACTTACGATATAAACGGAAGAACAAAACCAATCAATATTCCAACAACAATTACTAAGATAAATAAAATGGTAGCTGTGTTTTGCCTGTAAAAAAATAAAACAGTTAAAACGGTTTCATTTTTAATACTAGATTTCTAAACGGTTAATTAGTAAATTTATAAAACAAATGATTGTAAAAGTGTTATAAAACTTTAGTAAATATGATAGCTTACAGTTATATTTTGAAGGTAATTTCATTGTTAATTTTTATTGTTAATGAGCTATAAATCAAATTATGACAAGCTATGAAGATTTAATTTTAAAAAATACTCCTAATATTATTTGGATCAAAATGTGATCAGTGCGCATGATGTGTTTTTTTTAAAATAAAACAAAAAAATAAAGGTCAAGAAACTGTTTAGACCTTTTAATACAGGAGACACAAAATGAAATGAATCATAAACATTAGATATTTTAATAAACTACAAAATAAGATTTAGTATCACTTTGAATCTCAAAGAAAAGTATTAGCTGAAAAAAATATTTAAATAATTTAAACAAAATAAAAAAATATAATAGGCAAGAAAAATAATAGCTAATACACATAAAATATATATACTTTAAAGTTACAAGAATAAAAACATCGAATGCTACAACTTGAACCCACACGTACGCTTTCGTAACTTATTGGCTATAAGAATACTTATATACTTATTGTTAAACAATCAATATATCAAAAGTTATTTGTTTGCTCAGTCAGACGAATAATCACTGTAAATTTATAAAACTTTGCATGGAACTATAGGATAAAAAAAAATTAAATTAAATAAATAAACTATATATATATATATATATACATATATATATATACATATATATATATATATATATATATATATATATATATATATATATATATATATATATATATATATATATATATATATGTATACACATATATATATATACATATATATATATATATATATATATATATATATATATATAAATATATATATATATATATATATATATATATATATATATATATATATATATATATATATATATATATATATATATATATATATATATATATATATATATATATATATATTATATTCTTATATAGTATTTTTATATAGTTAAAACTAAACTACAAAGTATCTTTCAATGCTACAAGGCCAACAAAGGAGTGCTGCTACATCAACTATCTTATAGCCAGCTGCTATAAGGAAGTGCTGCTATATCGACTATCTTATAGGTCTACATAACTGGATGGCTTGGTTGGCTGATGAACCCTAACTTCTTCCAATGTACATCACAATGAAAAAATGAACATAAGGGGGGATGCTGGATGTGGTTATGGCACTCAATAACCAATGACTACACTGACATTCACACACACATTCAATTAGAAACACCACAATGCACGTCAGCGCTCTCTGAGTATGTGCTCGGATCTAAATCTCACTTCACATAACTTCACACCAATGCACGGTGATAGCTTTTTTGGCTAAGAGTGATGGCTTGTGGGTAATGTGTGCATTAAGTGACTAATTTGTGCATTCGATTATTTGTATTAGCCCATAAGTGCAAGAAGTGAGTGTGTTTAGCTTTCTATTCATCCAATTTGAAACTGGGAGAAAACATAACGAGACCATACCAGATGACCAAAGAGAACATACCAATGCACTACACCATCACATCTGTAGACATTAACTCTCTCTCTAACATCAGTAAATCAAATATTTGTTCTTTGTTGCGTATGATCTACACACAGAGTGACTAGAGCGTTAGTTGTTTTTTCACCTGCCCATTGAGCATCTATACTTTGTTCTTTTATATTATCTTTTGATTTTTATCTTTTTTATACAACACCATCTACAATCTGTTTTTAATATCTCCCAGGTCTACATAACTGGACAGCTCCGCTGGTCACTTATTGCGGTCATTGTGTTGCATAAATAATTATCAACTTTTAAAAATATTTTATTTTTTTTATTTTAATATTTTCTTTTACATCTAAAAACTTTAATAATAGTTTTAATTTTTTTTTTTATTATTCACCCATATAAATTTTATGGTATAAAATTTCAAAAATATAGAAACTACATATTTGTTATTACATATTGCGGTGTATAAATTAAAAGTTAAATTAGTTATGGTAACCAAATGGTCAACTAATGTAGACCATATAAGTTATATTCTTTAAGTAATTTTCATTTGATATGGATTTTTCAACCCCTTGAACTAGAAGATGTTTGAAGATGATGCTCTGTTTGTTTGTTTGTTTTATTATCATTATTATCACTTTTTGTTGTTGTTATTGTTGCTGATGATTTTAATCTTTTAGTGCAGTAAATTTATCAGTTATTATATTAAACAATCATTTATTTTTGGATTTTTACACAGACATTTAAGAATACTTTTCTATGTTTTGTAAAAGCCATTTTAGAACTTATGGCAATTAATTTATTGGTTTTAACTGAATTTGCTTTATGCTTAATATTGATTCTATAGATTTAACCTATAGATTGAGGTTAATATCTTATTAAACCTGAACAAGCACAAATAATTAAAATAAAACAATAATCAAGAAATAAACAAAAAAATTTAATTAAATTATACACATAATATATTTTATTTATAACAATATTTATAATTCATATTAATTATTAACTATTTATAACGATAATTAACTAAATGTTAATGATATTTTGTAGTGTAATCCAAAACTTTAAACAAAAAATTAAAAATTCAAAAATTGCATTAACTTCGCTTTTTTAAAACAGATATGAAAAAAATGTGGTACAAAAACATTAATCTTAAACTTCATGTTCTTATACCAAATCTTAAACTACATGCTCTTATACCACATAATGCTGAATCAGCTAAAAAAAGTAAAATTTTTTTTTAGCTGATTCAGCATCTCTGACTGCTCTACTAATGCAAATTTTTTTTTAAGTAACAACAACAAAAAAAAACCTACCAGCTAGGATGATCCATGGAATCATTGATATGTTGAACATAGCTATAAACCTTTTTAACAAACCACCAAAAAATGCTCTATGTGGAAAAATATTTTAACATTTGTTAAATGAAATAAAAAGGGTCAAAATAAGTGCCAGACATTGATGCTTTCAGACCATTTTTGAGAAATGCTAAAGAGGGGCAACCAGTCATTGTTCACTATTTATGACAAAATTAACAATGGTTGGTTGCCTTTATCTAGCAAGTTTCAAAATATATGGTTCAAGGGCAGCCATTCCCGACATATTTTGATCTCTGAGTAATATAATTATTATCCATAACGTACATAATAATTATATTATTTAAGCATAATTACATTATGCATATTAATTAAACCATACAAAATTATTATATTACATTTATAACATTTAATAACATAAATTAGAGACATTGATGCTTTCAGACCATTTTTGAGAAATGCTAAAGAGGGGCAACCAGTCATTGTTCACTTTTTATGACAAAATTAACAATGGTTGGTTGCCTTTATCTAGCAAGTTTCAAAATATTTGGTTCAAGGGCAGCCATTTCCGACATATTTTGATCTCTGAGTAATATAATTATTATCCATAACATACATAATAATTATATTATTTAAGCATAATTACATTATGCATATTAATTAAACCATACAAAATTATTATATTACATTTATAACATTTAATAACATAAATTATAACAATTTATTTTTTATATGATAAATTGTTTAACAATAAACTCTTGTTTAATAATTAACTTAATTATTAAATAAAAAATCAAGAGAAACATTTTTATACTAAATTCAAAGTTAGTAGTACAGCACTTTAAAGGGCTGCGGAATTTTAAAAACATTTAAATTAAATTTAACTTGCATATTAAATTAAGTTTAACTTGCATAATTTGTGTCCTGCATTATTGCAAAAAAAAAAAAAAATACTCAGAAAGTTCAACTAATGCAGTAACATAAACACAATACTTATGTATAACTGATTTTTTACATTGAAATATTCATTTACTATTTACAGTAATACTTCATTTTAACTTTGTTAAAAAGTTCATTTGTAGTAATGTATTTAATACTTGATTAGATTCTTACATGAGCATGTTCATCTATCAGTTGTAAATCTTCAATTTCATACTTAAGCTCTTCTTGTCCTTTTATTAAACCACTAATATATAATATTAAATCATTGGTAGATTTTTTGTCCATGCAAAACCCTCCAGTATACCAGCTGTAAAAAATATTCTTTCCAGCACTACGTTGTAGTATTACAAGCTGAAAAAATAATATAGATTACATATAAATTGTTACAAACATACAAACATACATACATACATATATACATACATACATACATACATACATACATACATACATACATACATACATACATACATACATACATATGTATATATATATGTATATATATATATATATATATATATATATATATATATATATATATATATGTATATATATATATATATATATAAATATATATATATATTTATATTTATATATATATATATATATATACATATATATATATATATATATATATATATATATATATATATATATATATATATATATATATATATATATATATATATATATATATATTTTGACCAATTAAATTTAATCATTCGCAGAGTTCACAAACATCAACAGTTGGTTAGTCTATTATCTTAAAGAAAAGTCTTTTAATCTAAAAAATTATCTATTAGAATAGTCATACATTTTATATTTTTTATTTTGATAATTTAATTAATTCAGAAATTTTGTATAATATTCTTTTATCCATGATTACTTGACCCTATGCACAGTGGGCTAGAAATAGGTATAAATGGCGAAAATGAGTATTTGTGGAAACTTTTTTTTTGCAAAATTTTAAAAGTAATTACCCAACAATAAATTAATCTGTTGTTTAAATATTTTCATTTTTGTTTTAGAAGTCCTGTGAAAGTTTTTCAAGCTGGTCCATTAAAAAAAAAATGTTTTTTTTATATATAAAAAAAAAAAAAAAGTTTATAAAATTGAACTTCATCTTGTAAGTGCAGTTTTCTTTAATTTAATTAAAATTTTATAGTTACAATATCAGGATATATGCTTTATTTTAGAAAACTTAACAAATAAAAAAAAATTCTTTTTTTTTTTTTTCTTAACTTTTTTCTTAACTTTTAATATGACAGTTAAAGTATTACAATATATAATAAAATTTACCATAAAAGGTTCAAGATCTTTTTTCGCCCACATTTCACAAATACAGAAATAACTTTTTTACAGTCTTAATTTTACAGAACGTTCTCATTAAAAATAAATTGCGCAAAGTTGCGCAAATTAAAGTTTAGCAGGTTTTAAACATACTGCTCGTTTGTCATTTTCAATCGTTCAAAGAAACTACAAGAGACAATAAAAATTAATGTTATTCCACTTTATTAAGTAATGTGTTTTTTTTTACTTATAAACTTAGGCTTTTTTCAGCTAATTATCGATGTTTGTAATTATGTAAAATACGAATACTATTGAAATTAATAAAAAAACTATAATTATATTTTTAAATTAAAGTTTTCTTTTACCAATCATGAAAAATAAAGAAATTACTCAAAAATTGTTTCATGATTTGGAAAACAACTTAATCGAATCAGTTACCAACCCTGATGCTTATAAAGTTACAGGAATCTCTGACATAGACTTCAAATTATATTCTAAACAATTTAACATTTAATCTGCATTTCTATCCTGCATTGCTCTATTTAATCTTTATTTTGAAAAACTTGGTGAATCACTATGGACTAATAAGAAACCATCCTCTACACTTTACTACCGTTCAGTACGATTTCAGTATGTAAAAGAAAGTGCTGAGGTTGTTATACAAGAATACATTTCTTGTGTAACAACCTCAGCACTTTCTTTTTAACATCTTTATAATTCACTTATTATCAAACATAAGTTAGAATGCACACTGATTGATGAAAAAGTGGCTAATATAGTTTCGCCTTTAAGTAATTCTTTTCAAGTATTTGTGGACTGACTTTTAATTGTTGTATTTTCAAAAATTTCTAATACAGTTTCCACTGAGCTTGGATTGAGCAGATTACATTCATGGATTAGGTGCATTGAATGCGGTCATATAAGTTACAAAATTAAATTAGGAAAGTGGTAAGCTGAAGAAATTGTTATAAAAAAAAAGATTATTTTTCAACAAAAGATAAATGATCACTTAGGTTTAATTGTAGAAGTACCAAAAAGCAGCGGTTCAGGTACAACAAATGATGGAAACACAGCACGAAAAGTATTCTTAAACTATGTAATGTATGCTGTACTTGGCTTAGATAAAAATCTCATCTACATAATTCTTTGTGTTTTACCATGCAAACATTAAACTAAAGATGATGAACTTGAAAAATATACCAAAGAAACAACAGAGCTCTATGTTTCTCTGTACACATTGTTCCCAATGCCTCAAATTGTACATAAAATTCTAATTCATAGTTCTCAAGGTGTAAGAGATAAACCAGTACCAGTAGGTCTTCTTTCTGAGGAAGCTCAGAAATGTCAAAATAAAGACGTTAAAAATTATAGAAAATACTATGTGAGAATATTCAAGAAAATTCACTAATGAAGATGTTATGCGAAGATTAGTGTGCAATTCAGATTCAATTATTAGCTCTCTAAGAAGAAGTTTGAGATGTATTAAAGAACATGAACTTAACATAGATTGTATTAAACTTTTATTGTTAATTTTTTTTAATTTTAAGTTTTATATATTTTTACTCTGATTTCTGATAAAAAAAATCTAATAAATAAATTTTCTTAATAAATAAATATTAATTATTTATATAATAATAAATAAATGTTTCTTCATTTATAAAAAGGAGTCTAACACGTAACAAACAAACATTTTAATTAATTAATGCTTCGAATCTAGGAAAAACTTTGAATCTGTGAAAAACTCTAAAAACAACAAAAAGTTACATCTAAAATCCTTAATGTCCTATACACCCATTTCTATTAGGGTGTTAAGGGTGTCTGCATCTGCAAAAAAAAAAAAAAAATTATTTTAAAAAAGTTCCAAATGATGACTAGAGTTACATGAAAAAAATATTAATTTTAATAATAAACGAGTTATGATTTTTTGTACATTTTATATTGATCTTGCCTACTGTGCTTTGAAAAAAAAAAAAAAAAAATTTAAGAAACATTAGTCTATAAAATAGTAATATTTGATTTGAAAAACGACAAAAAAGGGTTATAAAAAAGTTATATGGGATCTTTTTTTTATTGTTGTAGCATTCTTTTAAATTGTAGACTACTACTTAATAAGTGATTTATAATAAAACATAAATCATTCATTAAATTTGTTGCAAAAAAAACATTAAAAAACAAAGTTTAAAGTTATTTATATAGTTATTTAAAGTTATTTAACATAAAAGTATAAAACAATAATAATAACAAAGTAGAACTTTGTTTTAAAGAGAGCAGGAGAAAAAAGGAGCTAAAACTTTGGCTTCACTCTGTGAAAAAATAACTTATTATTTTTATAAATAACAAAAGTAATTATATTGAAATGACAAGAAAAAAATTTTTTTTTTTATCAAAACAACTAGTTTATGTTTTAATCTTATTTTTTATTTTGAAATGAACTTATGAACCAATTGGTACTTAAAGTGCTAGATAGCATCGCTAAAAGTGATGCTGTTTAGCACTTTAAATAAATACAAAAATATTAAAACAATAAACTTAAAACCTAAACAAAAAAACAATAAACAAAAAAGAAACAAGTTGAGCTACTAATACAAACAGAATGGATTCTAACCCCAATTGTAAAATAGTAATAAAAACTACCTTCAATGATGGCTCATTATCAGAACAAAGTAACACTTTGGTTTGATTATTTACACTTAATTGTTTGACAAACTGAACTTGAACATCTTCATATAAATAAAGAAACTGAACTTTTTTTTTATCCAACTCTTTTGACTTTTGCAGTTCACGAAAAGCTAACAAAGGTTCACTGAAATTTGATGTTTTCTCAAACATCAACACAACACATAACCTAAAAAAGCAACAAAAAAAAAATGTTTTTAAATAACTATGTTCAAAAAAGTGAGTTTTTTTAATGATACGTTAAATTCTTATGATATGTCATTATATAATATATAATAACATATCTTTATTAATATTATTACATTATTAACATAAATAAGAGTATATATAATATATAATAGGACAATTTGTCTTATTATATATAATGATGCAACAAACAAATCACTATTGTTAAATTCACCCTCCCCCCCTCATGCATGTGTGGAAACTTGCATTATTTAGACAAGTTTCCATAATGTTACTTTCAAGTTGAAGCAATTTTATATAGCCGAGTGACCTTCATTAAGATATTCTGTTTTGCTGATTAAGAATATTTTTATTGTGATACTATCACTAGAAAGCAATGTAGGATTTATGAGCTCCTTCTAGATACTACCACTGTAAAGAATAAAATCCAGGATTTATGAGCTCCTTCTAGATACTACCACTGTGAAGAATAAAATCCAGGATTTATGAGCTCCTTCTAGGTACTACCACTGTAAATAGTGTAATCAAAGATTTATGAGCTCCTTTTACCCATACCCATAATTAAAGTCAGGGTTTTATATTAGAGCTTTCTAAGGAATCTTACATACCCATATCAAATAAATATTTCAGTTTTTGCAAAACCCTCAACACAAAAGAGTTGATAATTAAGATAGGTAAAAAAAGAACAACTGTGGAAAAGGAAACCCTATTTTTCTTCAATCCTTTTTTTCTTCTTTTATTTTTTTTTTTTTTTTCTTTATCTTTATGTTATGAAAACAAAATATATTAAATATGAAGACAAAATATATTAAATATGAAGACAAAATAACTATTTTCATATCAATGTTCTTAGACAAAAAAAAGCAAATTTTTTCTACAATATTGAACAAAACATGGTGGAAAAACTCAAGTTTAGAATAAAAGTTGATCAAAAACTAAAAAAAAAAATATTAAAACAATTAAAATAATTTTTAAATAGTTTAATATGCTGTGAACAAATTTTAAAACATTTGAATCCTACTGAGAATAACAAAAAAAAAAAAAATTATAACACATTTTCCTTAACAAACTACATTATACTTTGGAGAAAACAAGGTCAAAACAAATATAAAAAAAGACATTCAAAAAATCTACTGAAAATTCAAAAAACTTCAAAAATTAACTTAATATTTGAAAATAATAAGCAAATAATTTTTATCTCTTGCCAGGCCTTCTCAATTTATTTAAATAGCTCATCACATTTGCACACTTAATCTTATTATCAATTATTTCACAGAAATTTTCAAATGGATTCGAGTCAAGGCTACTCTATAACAGTAAAATTCTTGTTGTTAAAACACTGTTTTACAATTTTTTAAAAATATATATTTTAGGGGCATGTAGCAATTTCAATCTGCTTTAACATAAAGCAACATAACATCTTCATGTTATCTTTGTACACAAAGCGGTCCATAATTCCATTAATTTTGTAAAAAGAACCTGTCTCTAGGGCTAAGAAACATCCCCAAACCATCGCAGACGTTCTATGTTTAACATTCTTCTTGGTATATTTAGTATTGTATCTGGTGTTCTTTGGTCTCCAGATTCGCTTCTCATAATTGCTTCAAAAAAAGTTATACTTTGACTCATCTCTTGAAAGTGTTTTTCCAAAATTCTATTTTTAGTGTGCTTTGGCAAACGCCAAAGTCTTTGCTTTTTATTTTTAAAAGAAGTTTGTGGTTTCTTGGCAGGCATTCGAGAAAACAATTTTGCATCATTAGCTTTTTTATTTATTTATTTATATAAATATATATAAATATTGTTATTATTATTGTTAAATTGAAAACCGTAATGTAAAAATTACACGGAAAGTAATCACATAAGAGATTACTTTATAACAGTTAAAATGTACTTTTTTCTTTTATCGATATTGTTTTTAAAAGAGTTTATAGTCTTCACATTAACAGTATCATGATCTTAATTGTTCTAAATGTTACAAACTCGATTTAAGAAAAAGTTATGTCTTGCATTACATTTTGGAGTGTATTCTCTTGAGAATCTTTAATTGTGATTTCTGCTTTTTTTTTTCATCTAATACTCTGTTGGTTATAAAATTTATTGGTTTTCGTAATGAGATTTGATCGTAACCATATACTATTCTTTATATATATATATATATATATATGTATATATATATATATATATATATATATATATATATATATATATATATATATATATATATATATATATATATATATATAGAATAGTATATGGTTACCATCAAATCTCATTACAAAAACCAATAAATTTTATAACCACTCTATTTTGTAAAATACATTTTAAAATTGTTTAAATATACATATATATATATATATATATATATATATATATATATATATATATATATATATATATATATATATATTATATATATATATATATATATATATATATATATACATATATAAGTATATATATACATATATATATACATATACATATATAAAACATATTTAAAATTAAAAAATTATAATCATTATTTGGGAAAAGATTGTAATTAGTATTATTAGAAGATTAAAAACAAACTTTCTACCGTCGATCAGAAGCATATTTCTTTGGGCAGAGATCATCAAAATACTTCTGAGATGAAAGACGAGGCACATGGAAATGCAAATTGCTTGATACAACTTCTCGTAATTTTCCACGTCTCAGGGCATCTCCCTGCCAAAATTAAAAACATTTTTATGTTTTTCAAAATTCTTTCTTCACTACACCATAACACACGACACAAAAAAAACAAATGAAATAAAATAAAAAAAAGGTGGAAATATTATTTTGAAAAATTTAACAAATATACAGTTTAACATTCTTTTAACAAATGACAAAATTAAAATTTTACCCTAACTACTTCAACAGGAGAAGAAGGATCTTCCTTTAGCATAACAATAGTAGGATCATTTTTATTTACATTGTACTTTTCACGCAATCGTGTATTTATATGATTTTTTGCCTCTATATAGGCAAACTTTACCTTGGACCGATACTCATAAGCAACAGATAAATACAATAAAGGAGGAAATATATGATGACTAAACAACAAACATTGAGGTTTGTTTTCTTGAAAAGCCTGTTCAAAATACCATTCTCGGTCAGCTGAATTAATCTATAATAAAACAACAAATTTATTTTATTATAGATTTAAAAATATTTTGTATTTGTTAAAAATTTAATTTATTGCACTATGAATTTTTACAGTGAGATTTTAAAAACAAATTAATAAAAAATTTTTTTAGAAACACTCTATATTAGACCCCACATTCTATATTTTTTATATTTGAAAAGTATTGATCTAAAAATACAGAGATGATCAAAGTTACCTAAACTTTATTAAACTAATTTTTCGTTTCTATTATTTTTCCTTGGTTTGGATTTCAAAAAATGCTAATTACAATTGTTAATTAATTAGAAAAATAAGTTTAGGGTCATCCATAAAGGACGTCACGCTAAGTTTAACTAATGGCAAGAAATTGGAGAATGTTAGCTCTCGCATGCAGAGATTTTTAGAGTATTATAGCGCCTAATGTTCAATAAAAAATCTCTGCAAAAGGGAGCCAATAAACTTCTACTTCTGGTTAGTATTTGAATTCTGTATGACGTCCTTTATGGACAACCCTCAAATAAAAACTTAATTTTAGTAAGTTTTTAATTTACATAAAAACTTATTAAAATTAAGTTTTTATTTTAGGGTCACACACACCTAATTTACTAAAATTAAGTTTTTTAAATAAAAACTTAATTTTAGTAAATTAGGTGTGTGTGACTACATGCATGGATTAAAGGCATAAATTGAACTCAAGTGTTCTTACATAATCTATGTTGTCATGTGGATAAAGTGTAGCAAGGAAGTCTCTAATACCCCTTTCAGTTTTATAATAGTCCTTGTATTTAATTGCCCTTCCTGCAATTACTGCAACAAAAGCAGGAAACCAATTAACACCTAAATCATGCGCCAATCGTTGATCGTCACTAAATTGCAACTCATAAGTTCCGATTCCAATGTTCTCTAAACCACTTGATAATTTTTCCCATAATGGTTGCAGCTGTATACCTAAAAAAATAATTCAACTCTAATTAAAAATCTTTTTTTTAAGATTTAATTTCGATTTTTTTTTTATTTTTTTTTTTGAACTCACTTTGACTTTAAACATAGAAGTAGTACTCATGTTGTGGTATAATTAGTAATGATATAAAATATAAATAGTAATGTTATAAAGTATAATTAGTAATGATATAAAATATAAATAGTAATGTTATAAAGTATAATTAGTAATGATATAAAATATAAATAGTAATGTTATAAAATATAATTAGTAATAATATAAAATATAAATAGTAATAATAGAAAACATAAGCATTAAAAATCTATTATTTATATTGCTTATAAACAATTTATTATTTTAAACAAAAGAAAAAGAAAAGTTAAAATACATTCTAAGGACATATCTTCAAACACAGCAATCAAAAAAAGTTTATGATAACTGTCGGGAAGAACAATATTTTGGTAACTATATCTTGTTAACATGTTTCTTTTCGAACGGCGTTGTGAATGAAAATGTGTTCCAAATGGAAGATCTTCAAACATAAATGAAAAAAATCCTTCAGGTCCAGGGCGTACTTCATGGTGAAAATTTTTCCAGTTTTGTTTTTGTGAATCTGTGGTCCCATACTGATCATACTGTTGCTTGCGATCAGGGTCAGATAAAATCTAAAAATTAAAAAATTAAAAAGAGTTAAAAGAAGAATTTATAAAAATTAAACTAATTATCAAAAAGTTACTTTTATTATTAACAAATAATTATTATTATTAACTTGTAAGATGTTTATTATATTTTAGATCAAAAATAGTTTAATTCAAATAATTAATCAATTTTTTGCTCTGGCCAGCTTGATCATTAAACTTTTATCTAATCAAATGAAGAATTTTAAATTTGCAACAACCTAGTTGAACCAATGCAACAAAAGATGTGTAGCTTGCAAAAGTATAACATAGGCGGTATTTTAAAAAACATAAGAAGTATTTTAAAATAAACTAGTTAAACTAGTTTAGATGTTTATTTTTGTTGTTAATAAAAACTTGAATATATTAGAAGCACAAATTTCACTAGATAAAGATTCCCAAATTGCTGCTTTAATTTAACATCCATATGGATACTTAAAAACTAACTAACTTAGAAACTAATTAACTTAGAAACTAACTAACTTAGAAACAAACTAACTTAGAAACTAAATAACTTAGAAACTAACTAATTTAGAAACTAACTTAGAAACTAACTAATTTAGAAACTAACTAATTTAGAAACTAACTAATTTAGAAACTAACTATTTTAGAAACTAACTTAGAAACTAACTAACTTAGAAACTAACTAACTTAGAAACTAACAGTCTATAAGCTTAGTAAATATGCACAACATTTCTATAAACTAACTTAGACAGGTTTGACAGTTTTACTGTATAAATATTTAATATGTAGAGAATGTTCACCACTCATTATTCTAAATATCATTACTTTTTATTTGAGGTCTGCAGAGTGTCAACACTAATATTACATTTAACAATACTGTTTAGTTTGAGCCTGTGAATAAATTATATCTTAAATAAACACACAAGTCAGAACAAATGATGAGCCTAAAATAATGTTGTACTTTCACTGCTACTACCTAATCACTCTCTCTAGATGTAACATTTTTAATCCAGACACACACATAGTTGCAACATTCTCAGGGCAGACACACACATAGATATAACATTTTTAGGCCAGACACACATCACTGCTATTTTGTAATTACAACTGTAAATACAGAAGTGTTAATCATAAAATGAGTATATCGCTCTCATCCTATTTTTGAATTAACAAAATCACTTCTCACAATAGAGCACTATATGCATCTTCAGTTATCAAATCCACAGACATCAACCTACAAGTTGTAGATTGATGTCTGTGGATTCAGTGTTTATCCTGCCTTAGCAGAACAACAAATACAACATGTATCAATCGATGTCAACTTAAATCAAATATTATATTTTATGTTGGAATAGTTTCATAAATATGCTGTTTCGCTGGTTGTTCATCTTTCACCGGGGTTTCCTCTATGTTATTAAAATTTTTCGAGTGCAAATATCAGTAATCAGCAAAGATTATTAAGGACTTGTTCAGATTCTATATTCTACTATAATAAGTGCAAACATTTTGCCAACATTTTTTGGCCCAAAACTATTATCAAGACATTTAATTTATATTCGCTTCTTTAAAACGAATTTCTTGTTTCACTTTAAAACAATTTTTGTATAAGCTTTTAAGTATAAGCAGTTTTATAATAAGCAAAAGAGAAAAAATATGTCTCTTAATAATTGTTGTGCATGTTGCCATAAAATTTCGACAGAAAAAATTTAAGTTTTATTATGAAAATAATAAAATTGTAAGTAATATCATATGTTTTTTAAGTTTTGTTATGAAAATAATAAAATTGTAAGAAATAAATATAATTTTTTTTAAAAAAATGAAAATAGATTTTATAAATTTTTAAACAATTTTTGAAGCAATTAAGGAATAAACACACAGTTATATAATATAAATACACAGAATTATAGTATAACAAATTACTTCATAAGCTTCATTGATCTGCATCATCATAGCAGCTGCATTTGGGTCTTTATTTTTATCAGGATGCCTATAAAACAAATAAAGATTTTTTTACATTAAATAAAATATCTTCTTTTTTACTTTTTTGATTTTAAATTAATTTTTTCATTGAATAAAAAATATTAATCACATACACGCCCACACACATTTTATGGGTGAAACATAAAACAGTGAACATACTTTTTTGTACTTCAATGTGTCATACATGACATTATATTGAAATGCAAAGCTGTGGAGAGATCAAAAAAAGTTTTACGTTATGTAAAAACTATTTTATTTTGCATTTTTTAATATTTGTAAACTACCATGTAAATTATCTTTTCATTTAAGTTAATTTATTGAGAAAAAAAAAAACGCTATTTTATTTTTTATTTAATTTAACCGCTATTTAAATTTTGAATTTTTTAAATTAATTTATACAAATTTTTTTATACGAATTTTTTTTATACAAACTTTTTTAATTAAAAGACTTTAAAAGTGATTTTGAAAATTTTAATATTAATTTTATTTTGCCCCAGTTTTGAAGGGATGTAAAATAGCAAAACGTTGGATGTAAAATTTAGTTTTAAAGGAATGTAAAATAGTTTAGCAATTTTTATTAAAGAAATTTTTTTCTTATAATATGCTAACTAAATCATAACATACAACATTTCTCTCCATCATTATCATAAATTATAATATGCGAAAGCAAATTAAAAACTTGCTTTTCTTATAAGGTTGAAAACTTGTAAGGTTGAAAACTTTTCTTATAATTAAAAACTTGCTTTTCTTATAAGGTTGCTTGCAGCCTTCGCTTCCAGCAAGGCTGCAAGCAACCACTAATTAGTGTTGGAAGTTACTGGAAGAGAAAAGATGAAGATAGTTGAGCAAGATAACAATTGACAGACAACTTAAAAGATTGCAAATTATATGAATTAGGAAAGATGAAGGAAGCGAATTCTAAAGAACTGATGTTCGAGGAAAAAAACTAGAGGAATAAGAGTTTTTGGAGCACTTAGGAACAGTAACAGAAAATAGAAGAGACTTAATTGAATGACGAGTAACACGAGAATGAATTTAAGTAGATGGCACAAGAGATGCTAGCTCTTTAGAGCAGTGCCCATCATAGTATTTGTAGAAAAAAGAAAGAGAAGCAACATTACTGCAATGTAACAAAGGTTGAAGGTTGGCTGCAAGAGTAGGTCAAACTATGTTTACAAGTATAAGATTGTTTTAAGTATTAAATTATTACAAAATATAATCTTGTTGTCAAATACTGAATTTATATTCTATCAATAACTTTTGTTTTATTAGTTATAAATGATTTTTAATGCGGTTCAAAACTGAATAAAATTACAACGCGGTACTTTTAAATACTTTCAAAATATCCAAAGTTTTTAGGCTCCTGAAACAAATAAAATCTTAATAATTGAAACACATTAAAAGCAAAGGGTTTTAAAGTAAAATTTAAATTAGTTTAATATATTACTATTATTTATGTAAATTATTTCTAGTCTAAACTTAACCATATAAGAAAAAAATACTAGAATATGCGAGAACTCTGCTGAAAATTTAAAAAATAGAGACAGGCAACTCAAAACATCGGCGGGCAACCAACACTAACAAACTGGTTACTTTCAGTTGCTCTACTGACAACTGATTAGGGTGTCCCAGCCGCCCCTTATATTCTAAAAAAGATCTGTTCATATTCTTAAAACTTTATATTTTTAAGCAACTTGGTTAAATTTTTTCAAAATTTTATTGGATTTAGGAAGAGCAGAAGATGCTTGAACTCTTACTGGGTCCCAAATATTACTAAACAAAAAGTTTTTAAAAAATATCATGTTGGGTCTCAAAAGAAAGAAAATTACATAAAAATTTCAAAAATAACAATCAATTTTTTTGGGAATTATTATCAAAAAAATACATTCTTTTATTTTTAGTTATAAAAGATTTTTTTTTTTGTAATAAACTCTAAATTAATAATTTTTTAATAAAATTTTATTTTTTAAATCTTTATATAATTTCGCTTCTTTTGAGATCCAACATGACATACTTTAGAAAAACTTTTTTTATATATTAGGGACCCGGTAAAGGTTTTGTGCTCTCCTTAAATCTAATAAAATTTTAAAAAAATTTAACCGAGTTGTTTGTGAGAACCAATAGAAAGTTTTAAGAATATAAACAGACCTTTTTAATAGAATATAAGGGGCAGCGTGGATACCCTAATATATGACACCCTAATATATATATATATATATATATATATATATATATATATATATATATATATATATATATATATATATATATATATATATATATATATATATATATATATATATATATATATATATATATATATATATATATATATATATATATATATATAAATTAGATAAATGGACAAAAAATTGGAGCATGAAATTAAACTATGAAAAATGTAAAGTTATGAAAGCTTACAAATCAAAAATATAATTTGACCAAATAAATCAAGCTACCTGCGGGTTATATATACCCAAGAACTATATATAACTACCCACAATGGAATAATTTAAATGAAATGACACAGGAACAGGATCAAGGACCAAAAAAAAAGGAATGCTCCAAAAAGCACTAATTGATTTGGGATGCTCAATTTGCAGTGATTCATGTTGAATCCAAAAATGGCCTTGTTTTAAAAAGTCAAAAGCTTATCATAACTTTAACATAGGAACTGTACAAGTGCTAGGTGAAATGGTATTCAAATAGGAAATTGATGGAATACACTGGATGTTTAGTTCTTTATTTGTAAAAAAAAAACATTCAGATTTGTTTTGATTTATGAAATAAACGCAACCGAAAAATTTGGAGTTGTCATTTATGATTATAAAAACCATACTGTCCGTGTGTTAGTATATGATAAAGCAAAATATGATGTCATTACAATGACAGGAAAAAATGAAAATAAAATAAACAAAATAAAATACGTTCCTATTTCTATAACAAGAAAAAAAGAAAACCAAATAAACAAAATAAAATGTGATTTCATTAATACAATAAGAAATAAAGAGAACAAAATAAAACATTAGGGCTTAACAGCAAAGTTTTAAGGACTAGCATTGGGACCACCCAAAGAATTAATATAGCTTATGTATGCTGTGCAATAAAGCAAAAGCAAAAAGCTATGTCCAGTGGGAGACTTCCAAGCTCTTAACAAATATATAGATTGTCACACACCAAATGCAAAACTTTGTTAAGAGAAACTGTCGTTGGCGAAAAATAAAAAATACAAAAATTCTTGATCTTACAAAAGCCTACCATCAAATTCATATTGATAAAAAACTTTGGCCAAACAGTGATTATAAATGGGAAATGGTATTGTTTTACCAGAATGTGTTTTGGCATCAATGTAGCTCCAACAATAATACCACAATTCTTTGGCATGTGCTCAATATAAATCCAACCATGAAGAAAGCTGATAACTAAAATGTGATAACTACTTTGCATTACAATAAAGCTCAACTTTTCCATTCACTGGTACCAGCCATTTCCCATTTTTTCTAAATATGAATTAAAACTTGCTTTTCCAGGAGTTACTTTGTCAGCAAGTTTTTTCCGAAACATCTTCAAATAAAATACAAAATAAAATAATTTATTTATGTTGTAAATAAAATAACTAAAATAAATATGGCAAAACTAAAGTTAATTTAAATTCTAAACAAAATAATTAAAATAAAAACGACAATGTTTTATTTATACTCAAGATAAAGCATTTAAATTGAAATATGGAAAAACTAACATTTATGTAAATTTTAAATAAACTAATTTAAAAAAAATAAAAACGGCAAAAAAAAACGATTTATTTAAATTCTAAATTAAATAATTAAAGTTAAAACAGCAATAGCAATTTGATTATGTAAGATTAAAAAAAAATGCATTTTTAATTTTAGTAAAATTTAATAAAAAATTGATCATCTAAAAAATGATTTTATTGTCTGGTTTTTAATTTTTTTCATTTAAGCTGATCAATGTTGATGGGCAACTGTTGAAAAATTAGTTCAAGTACTGATCCATAGGACATGGTTTAGTTCTGCTCATTGGGGGAGTAGTTGTTGAAGATGCAGCATGGCTACAACCAGCGAGTGACACACACTATATTAATATTAGTAAACTGGATTGAATACTTTAAGGACTAAACTTAGCTAGTTAGTGGGACATAAAGCTACTAACAGTATAGAGTGATAGCAAAAGCACAATGGGATGGTTTAATGCAGTTTTGAAGGAAGAATATAGAAAATTTAGTACAATTAAAGAAGTAGCAAAAGATATCCAAGTACAATCAGGGCGTGACAAATTAACAAACATGCAAACATTTTCTGAAAAAAAAAAAAAACGTTATGTTTCTTTACTTTTATTTATGCAAAAAATGGCATTCGCTTCAAAATTTTCAAAAGAAACGCATTACTTTAGTAAACTTTTTTTCAAACAATAAAGTGACTGATAGTTTTTTTATTTATTATAAAAAACTTATTCACAATAAAAAAAAATTAGTTACTAAAATTTTAAAGGTATTTTCAAAGACTGCTAAAACATGATGTATACTTTCTTCAATAGATTGAAGAAAGAAATTAAAATGAATTTTGCATAAATTTACAAAAGCATGCAAAATTTTACTAAAAATGAATGGATTTGAATTGCTTTAAAAAAAAACATACTTGAACATTATAATTGCATTCTTCAATAGCGTGCTTTCTTTTTAAATTTTATTATTTTCTTTAAAGTCAAGTAATGTTTGTTTGCATATTAAAAACACTTTTAAAAGTTTGGAAAATAATTTTAATAATTTTGCTAAAAAATACATCTAGTAGAAGATATAGAATTATTATGTTTATTATAGTTTTAATTTTTATTCTACATTTAATAACACCAATAATATGATATTTTTATTAACTTATTATTAAATACTTTATTTACTAATTTAATTACTATTAAATATAATATTATTTTTAAAAGTTTTAAAAAAATGTCAAAACAACTAAGCATCTTTTCGATGTTAAAGAAAGATAG